GACACGGCTAGAAAATACGTAAGTAATGCCCCTTTAAGTAGGCTAACGAGCTATTTAATTTATGCTCAATGGGCAAGTGACAGCGGAAACTATGTGCTGAGCATAATCGTGGTAAGCAGAGAAAATGCGTGCTTAGCAATACCAGGTAGCCAACCAAAATGCCATGGGATTAATACTGCTTGTGACTGATTGTCCACCGTTTTCTGCTTAGGAAGTAATTTTGCTAAGCATTATCTTCCGCTCAGCAGATCATAAAGGATGGATTTTTTTTTAATGTACAATAATTATAATGAAATTATCTTACAGGCCTGGTGGGAATGCGTCCATGGTCTCTCCGTATTCCTTGCTGTCAATCGCTTGTATTAAAGCTTCCAATGACTTGGCGTCATCTGAATGTCAGAATGCAAACATCGAGAAAAAAATGGTCACAAATACAAAGGATGTTACACTATATGAACCATGTGACCAGTTATACTAACGGTTATCCCAAACATTTAATCATCCTTTGCATGTTAGTTTGCTCATAATAAGCCTTTAAATACCAAAAGTCCATTCTGAACATTTTCACTTCGTTACCACGGGACGTTTGACAAACTTCGTATAGCGCCTTTACATACACGGACTACATCATGTCAGTATGATAAGGGCCTTGAAACGAATTTAAAAATGACAGATATATGCAAGTATTCTTTCCTCTAAATTGTAGGAAAATGAGGAAATACTTTGCAGTTTTTGTTTTTGTTTGTATTGAAAGTAATCTGTAATGTTTCAATCGTTCTTATGAACAATTATTTAGGTACATTTACTTTGTGACTGGACTCCGAACCAAACTTGTGATTTACTCATGTACTCTGACTCGTAATGGACTCGACTAGAAACAACACTGGTTTCGAAATAAGGGTCTAGACATAAACATGGTCTATCATTAAAACAAATTACCTGATTTCACGTTGCTTTCATCTCGTTTGTGAGGCAGGTGTAAGTGGACGTGGCCCCAGGCGATGTGGGGCAGGTGTACGTGGACGTGCGGAAAGCCCCATTGGATGCGGTTCTTCCTGTATACGAAACACATGTGGAGGTCTCAGTTAATAGCAGTTATGGACATGACTGTGGGACTAATCTAGGCCTACCGATGAAGGAATTTGGCTCCGCGAGAAAGCCTTTACATAAGATTGAAAATCATTCGGATTCAAAAAATGGCATGCTTCTCCCCGTTTGCCAAAGTATAAGCAAAATCTTACCTTTTTAAAGGCATATTACGCCCAATTGGGCTACAAAACGTGTTTTAAACGAAATGGAGCATTTAGCATTAGGATATATACGTCCACACAAACATCTTGTAAAAACTGGGCGTATTCTGGTAATCTTGCGAGACCCATGCGAGAATGAATTTTGGGGGTCAACATTTTGACTCTCAAAAACGAGCGGTGGTGCTAGTCTTGATACCTGCCGCACATGCTCCACCGTTTCATGGCATTCGACGGACGTGCGAAAAACAACATTAGTGTGTTGGTGCTGTGTGTATTACGTGTCGCACGTACGTGTACCTTACACTGAAGGACACGGCTGGAAATACGTAAGTAATGCCCCTTTAAGTTAGCTAGCTAGCTATTTGATTTTACGCTCAATGGGCAAGTGATAGCGGAAACTATGTGCTGAGCATAATCGTGGTAAGCAGAGAAACTACTTGCTTAGCAAAATTAGGTATTAAGCAACCAAAATGCCATTGGATTTATACTGCTTGTGACTGGTTGCCAACTGTTTTCTGCTAAGTAAGTAAAGGCATTATTTTCCGCTCAGCAGATAATAAAGCTGATGATCTTAAATATATATCTATACCAATGATGAAATGAACGTACAGGGTCGCTCCGTTTTCATTGCTGTTAATCGCTTGCATTAAGGCTTCGAATTCCTTGCTGTCATCTGTATGTCAGAATGCAAACATCAAAAAAAGAAAAATTGTCACAACTACAAAAGGATGTTACCATGGGCGTCACGAAGGGGATAAATGCATCTGTGTCTACGAAGTACGAACGTAAGTACATGAAATGTTAGCAGGTATCAAAACGTTGTTTCAAATTTCAAAGGATCCGATGATCGTAATGATGTTGATGGAATTGGTCCATGATGTGTTTAACCTATCGCGCGCTATAACCAATCAGATAGCGATGACTGATCATGGATGCTGTTCATATTTTATTATAGACATCCTATTGAGTCGGTCAGTCAGTCAGTTAATTAGTCAGTCAGTCAGGTACATACAGAGAAGACTCTAGGCTGGCCCCGGACAAAAAAAATTCAATGCAATGTGAGAACTCAGAAACAGAAACTGAAAATGATATAACCAACCTGCCAGAGCAACTGCAGCACAGGCTCCCAGCATGAGAACTATGAGGAGATTCATGATGATGACGACGAGGTAGCAAAGGCTTTGCAGAACTCCGAATCAACTGTAGCAATAACGGTGGTAGTGATGTAGCCTAGTGGTAGCGAACTAGGGCTAACTATCGGCCTTATATAGATTCCAGCCCCACAGGGAATCTGCAACCAAAAGGAAAAAAGTACTTGAGATTGTTTGCCGATCGGAAACATGTTTGTAGAGGTGATAGCAATTTCCCCTCAGAGCGGCAAGGGAGTTTGCCTATTTTAGCCAACATGTTTGCTTTTGTCGAAATTAAAAAAGTTTCAATCTGAGATGAAACATAACAGTGGTAATTATTTTTCTTCATTTCCGTCGTTTACCTATTCATCGTGCTTGTTTGTTCTAACGTAGATCAAAATTGATATCATCAAACAACTCGATCCATCAAACTGACAAATTATATGTACTTCTTACCTTAATAATCAGAATTCTTCTAAACACATAATTAATATTTACATTATGTGGACACACTACTCCAACAAAAGTTTCTAGACTAAGTGTTGTCCGATTGTAATTGCATAGATTGTGCTGGTATTCTGGACTAGCATTTTGTCTAAGTTTTTACCTTTATCATCTATTTTTTGGCCCTGCACTTGTCCTTACATTTCCTTGTCAACCTAACCATACCCTATCCCCTCCCTTCCTGGCCTCTTCATTTCATTTACCCCGTTTTTTCCCTCAAACTAATTGTTTTATTCTCATATTTCTTTGTCTATAAGAGTTCTTGAAGTGCCACATTCCGCCAACCGATTGTTCCCTGTCACCCCAACCCCACGGAGTCTATAGTCCAATTAGTAGCGGCACCAGACTACAATTGGCAGGGGGGGGGGCAATGGTAATTGGTAATTATTTTTCTATATTTCCGTCGTCGATCACCCTTGTTGTTCTGACGTAGATCAAAATTGATATAATCAAACAACTCAATCCATTAAACTCACAAAGTAAATACACTTCTCACCTTAATAATCAGAATTTTTTAAACACGTGATTAATATTTACGTTATGTGGACACACTACTTCAAGAAACGTTTGTATAGAGCCGTCCGATTGTAATTGGATAGAATGTGCTGGTATTTTGGAGTAGCCCTGCCTTTCTTTCTTTTACCTACATCCTCCATTCCTGGTACTGCTCTTGTCCTTACATTTTCCTTTTTAACCCAACCATGCCCTACTCCACCCTTCCTCACCGCTTCCTTTCACTTTTTAATATTTCATCACCACTGCACCATGACCCAAATATTCAGCCCATTGTCATCACATCTTTAGGTTCCACTTCACCCCGTTTTGTCCTCAAACTAATTGTCTTATATTCTCGCAATTCCTTATCCAAATGTAAGAGTAATGTCAATGTAAATGTAATGTACATTCCGCCATCCGATTGTTCCCTATCACCCCCCCCCCCTCCCGCCGCCACAGAGTCTATAGTCCAATCAGTGGCAGCACCAGACTCACAAAATGGGGGAGGGTCAATTGGGGACAAGGAAATATTTTTGGGGGGCAGTCAAAATATAATCTGACGATATCTTAAATCTAAGGGGAAAGTAAGTAACTTAAATTAAGCACGTGTACACCCCCACGTAGCCATTGTCATAATTGGTCCGGAAATAAGCCTCTACAACAACTTAGAAGTGTAGTCGTACGTATGAATGAGAAAATGTATCAAACCGCAGAATGGTGTACAACAAGATGGTCCGGAAATAAGCAACTTAGAAGTGAAGTCGTTTTCAGGAATAAGACATGAGAAGATGTATCAAACTGCAGAATGGGGGCTTTTTTTTAGTCGCCATTTAGTTATTGGGCTCTTCCTTTAATTTCCCCTTAGATTTTGGATATCATCAGAGTATATAATAATTCCTTGCTTCTATTTCCCCCCCCCCCCCCATTGTAGTCTGGTACCACTACTAATTGGACTATAGACTCCGTGGGGTTGGGGTGACAGGGAACAATCGGTTGGCGGAATGTAGCACTTCAAGAACTCTTATAGACCAAGAAATATGAGAATAAAACAATTAGTTTGAGGAAAAAAACGGGGTAAATGAAATGAAGAGGCCAGGAAGGGAGGGGATAGGGTATGGTTAGGTTGACAAGGAAATTTAAGGACAAGTGCAGGACCAAAAAATAGATGATAAAGGTAAAAACTTAGACAAAATGCTAGTCCAGAATACCAGCACAATCTATGCAATTACAATCGGACAACACTTAGTCTAGAAACTTTTGTTGGAGTAGTGTGTCCACATAATGTAAATATTAATTATGTGTTTAGAAGAATTCTGATTATTAAGGTACGAAGTACATATAATTTTGATGGATCGAGTTGTTTGATGATATCAATTTTGATCTACGTTAGAACAAACAAGCACGATGAATAGGTAAACGACGGAAATGAAGAAAATAATTACCACTGTTATGTTTCATCTCAGACTGAAACTTTTTACTTTCGACAAAAGCAAACATGTTGGCTAAAATAGGCAAACTCCCTTTGCCGCTCTGAGGGGAAATTGCTATCACCTCTACAAACATGTTTCCGATCGGCAAACAATCTCAAGTACTTTTTTTCTTTTGGTTGCAGATTCCCTGTGGGGCTGAAATCTATATAAGGCCGATAGTTAGCCCTAGTTCGCTACCACTAGGCTACATCACTACCACCGTTATTGCTACAGTTGATTCGGAGTTCTGCAAAGCCTTTGCTACCTCGTCGTCATCATCATGAATCTCCTCATAGTTCTTATGCTGGGAGCCTGTGCTGCAGTTGCTCTGGCAGGTTGGTTATGTCATTTTCAGTTTCTGTTTCTGAGTTCTCACATTGCATTGATTTTTTTTGTCCGGGGCCAGCCTAGAGTCTTCTCTGTATGTACCTGACTGACTGACTAATTAACTGACTGACTGACCGACTCAATAGGATGTCTGTAATGAAATATTAACAGCACCCATGATCAGTCATCGCTATCAGATTGGTTATAGCGCGCGATAGGTTGAACACATCATGGACCAATTCCATCACCATCATTACGATCGTCGGATCCTTTGAAATTTGAAACAACGTTTTGATACCTGCTAACATTTCATGTATTTACGTTCGTACTTCGTAGACAAAGATGCATTTATCAATGAACCGTCCCTTTCAATGTTGATGCTGTAACACAGCACCGCCGGCCGAAATTTGCAGCATCGAATCGGTGGGAGGGAGATGAATATGCATCGTATATGTGCCACTCTTATCTTATAATTAGGAATTGGAGACACTTCTGACGTTCAACATGCAGCAAATGTAAATAGCAAGGACTGAAATAAACAGTGTCACCTTTTTTTCCAGGGGTGGAAAAAATTAGCGCCCCCTTGCCCCCCTCGTGACGCCCATGGTAACATCCTTTTGTAGTTGTGACATTTTTTCTTTTTTTGATGTTTGCATTCTGACATACAGATGACAGCAAGGAATTGGAAGCCTTAATGCAAGCGATTAACAGCAATGAAAACGGAGCGACCCTGTAAGTTAATTTCAACATTGGTATAAATATATATTTAAAATCATAAGCTTTATTATCTGCTGAGCGGAAAATAATGCCTTTACTTACTTAGCAGAAAACAGTTGGCAACCAGTCACAAGCAGTATAAATCCAATGGCATTTTGGTTGCTTAATACCTAATTTTGCTAAGCAAGTAGTCTCTGCTTACCACGATTATGCTCAGCACATGCTTTCCGCTATCACTTGCCCATTGAGCGTAAAATCAAATAGCTAGCTAGCAAACTTAAAGGGGCATTACTTACGTATTTCCAGCCGTGTCCTTCAGTGTAAGGTACACGGTACGTGCGACACGTAATACACACAGCACCAACACACAAATGTTGTTTTTCGCACGTCCGTCGAATGCCATGAAACGGTATCAAGACTAGCACCACAGCTCGTTTTTGAGAGTCAAAATGTTGACCCCAAAAATTCATTCTCGCATGGGTCTCGCAAGATTACCAGAATACTCCCAGTTTTTACAAGATGTTTGTGTGGACGTATATATCCTAATGCTAAATGCTCAAATTTCGTTTAAAGCACGTTTTGTAGCCCAATTGGGCGTAATATCCCTTTAAAAAGTTAAGATTTTACTTTTACTTTGGCAACCGGGGAGAAGCATGCCAGTTTTTGAATCCGAATGATTTTCAATCTTATGTAAAGGCCTTCTCGCGGAGCCAAATTCCTTCATCGGTAGGCCTAGATTAGTCCCACGTGTCCATAACTGCTATTAACTGAGACCTCCACATGTGTTTCGTATACAGGAAGAACCGCATCCAATGGGGCTTTCCGCACGTCCACGTACACCTGCCCCACATCGCCTGGGGTTTACCACACGTCCACTTACACCTGCCTCACAAACGAGATGAAAGCAACGTGAAATCAGGTAATTTGTTTTAATGATAGACCTTGTTTATGTCTAGACCCTTATTTCGAAACCAGTGTTGTTTCTAGTCGAGTCCATTAAGAGTCAGAGTAGGCCTACATGAGTAAATCACAAGTTTGGTTCGGAGTCCAGTCACAAAGTAAATGTACATAAATAATTGTTCATAAGAACGATTGAAATATTACAGATTACTTTCAAAACAAACAAAACCAAAAACTGCAAAGTATTTACCTGCTAACATTTCATGTACTTACGTTCGTTCTTCGTAGACACAGATGCATTTATCAATGAACCGCCCCCTTTCAATGTTGATGCTGTAACACAGGCACCGCCGGCCGAAATTTTGCAGCATCGAATCGGTGGGAGGAAGATGAATATGCATCGTATATGTGCCTCTCTTATCTTATAATTAGGAATTGGAGACACTTCTGAGGTTCAACATGCAGCAAACGTAAATAGCAAGGACTGAAATAAACAGAGTGTCACTTTTTTCCAGGGGTGGAAAGCGCCCCCTTGCCCCCTTCGTGACGCCCATGGTAAAATCCTTTTGTAGTTGCGACATTTTTTCTTTTTTCGATGTTTGCATTCTGACATACAGATGACAGCAAGGAATTGGAAGCCTTAATGCAAGCGATTAACAGCAATGAAAACGGAGCGACCCTGTAAGTTAATTTCATCATTGGTATAGATATATATTTAAAATCATAAGCTTTATTATCTGCTGAGCGGAAAATAATGCCTTTACTTACTTAGCAGAAAACAGTTGGCAACCAGTCACAAGCAGTATAAATCCAATGGCATTTTGGTTGCTTAATACCTAATTTTGCTAAGCAAGTAGTTTCTCTGCTTACCACGATTATGCTCAGCACATAGTTTCCGCTATCACTTGCCCATTGATCGTAAAATCAAATAGCTAGCTAGCTAACTTAAAGGGGCATTACTTACGTATTTCCAGCCGTGTCCTTCAGTGTAAGGTACACGTACGTGCGACACGTAATACACACAGCACCAACACACTAATGTTGTTTTTCGCACGTCCGTCGAATGCCATGAAACGGTGGAGCATGTGCGGCAGGTATCAAGACTAGCACCACAGCTCGTTTTTGAGAGTCAAAATGTTGACCCAAAAAATTCATTCTCGCATGGGTCTCGCAAGATGACCACAATACGCCCAGTTTTTACAAGATGTTTGTGTGGACGTATATATCCTAATGCTAAATGCTCCATTTCGTTTAAAGCACGTTTTGTAGCCCAATTGGGCGTAATATCCCTTTAAAAAGTTACGATTTTGCTTATACTTTGGCAAACGGGGAGAAGCATGCCATTTTTTGAATCCGAATGATTTTCAATCTTATGTAAAGGCCTTCTCGCGCAGCCAAATTCCTTCATCGGTAGGCCCAGATTAGTCCCACATGTCCATAACTGCTATTAACTGAGACCTCCACATGTGTTTCGTATACAGGAAGAACCGCATCCAATGGGGCTTTCCGCACGTCCACGTACACCTGCCCCACATCGCCTGGGGTTTACCCCACGTCCACTTACACCTGCCTCACAAACGAGATGAAAGCAACGTGAAATCAGGTAATTTGTTTTAATGATAGACCTTGTTTATGTCTAGACCCTTATTTCGAAACCAGTGTTGTTTCTAGTCAAGTCCATTACGAGTCAGAGTACATGTACATGAGTAAATCACAGTTTGGTTCGGAGTCCAGTCACAAAGTAAATGTACATAAATAATTGTTCATAAGAACGATTGAAACATTACAGATTACTTTCAAAACAAACAAAAACAAAAACTGCAAACTATTTCCTCATTTGCCTACAATTTAGAGGAAAGAATACTTGCATATATCTGTCATTTTTAAATTCGTTTCAAGGCCCTTATCATACTAACATGATGTAGTCCGTGTATGTAAAGGCGCTGTACGAAGTTTGTCAAACGTCCCGTGGTAACGAAGTGAAAATGTTGAGAATGGACTTTTGGCATTTAAAGGCTTATTATGAGCAAACTAACATGCAAAGGATGATTAAATGTTTGAGATAACCGTTAGTATAACTGGTCACATGGTTCATATAGTGTAACATCCTTTGTATTTCTGACCATTTTTTTCTCGATGTTTGCATTCTGACATTCAGATGACGCCAAGTCATTGGAAGCTTTAATGCAAGCGATTGACAGCAAGGAATACGGAGAGACCATGGACGCATTCCCACCAGGCCTGTAAGATAATTTCATTATATTTTTGTTACATTAAAAGAAATCCTAATCTTTATGATTTGCTGAGCGGAAGATAATGCTTAGAAAATTTACTTCCTAAGCAGAAAACGGTTTACAACCAGTCACAAGCAGTATAAATTCCATGGCATTTTGGTTGGTTACCTGATATTGCTAAGCACGCATTTTCTCTGTTTACCACGATTATGCTCAGCATATAGTTTCCGCTATCACTTGCCCATTGAGCGTAAAATCAAATAGCTAGCTGGCTAACTAAAAGGGGCATTACTTTCGTATTTTCTAGCCGTGTCCTTCAATGTAAGGTACACGTACGTGCACCAATACACAAATGTTGGTTTTCGCACGTCCGCAGAAAGCGATGTACCGGTGGAACATGTGCGGCAGGAATCACGACTAGCACCCGACAGCTCGTTTTTGAGAGTCAAAACGTTGACCCTCAAAATTCATTCTCGCATGGTCTCGAAAGATGAACACAAAAACGTCAAGTTTTTATGGAATGTTTGTGTGGACGTTTATACCCTATTGCTAAATGCTCTTTCCAATTAACATCATTTCGTTTAAGCACGTTTTGTAGCCCTCTTGGGCGCAATGTCCCTTTAAAAAGTTAACATGTTATACTTTGGTAAACGGGGGAAAACATGCGATTTGTTGAATCCAAGTGATTTTCAATCCGCATGTTATATTTAAACGGAGAATTAGATGTTTGAAGTTTTTTTGGGCCTTTCCGCTGACCCATTTTATTTTTAGCCAAATGCCTTCATCAGTAGGTGTAGATAGGTCCTATGTCCATGCTAGTAACTGAGACCTCCTATTGTGTTTCGTATACAGGAAGGACCGCATCCAGTGGGGCTTCCACATACACCCCTACCACAAGCGAGATGAACACAAATCAGGTATTTTGTTCGAATGATAGGCCGAGCTTATGTCTAGATCCTTCTTTCGAAAGATGTGTTGTATAGTCAAGTCCTTTACGGGTCAGAGTACATGAGTAAATCACAAGTTTGGTTCTGAGTCCAGTCAAAAAGTACGTGTACATTGTTCATAAGAATCTACGATTGAAACAAAATGTATATTGTATTTTTTACAGATGAGTTTCAGGCTGAGGATGATGCCACTTCCTTCAGGCCACGTCCCGCTGGCAAGGCGTAAGGGCCAACAACATCCATGAGTAATGTTGCCACGAGGGATGCTACTGGGAGGAAATCGTGGAATATTGCTAGAGAACACGGCAAGATACACGGCCTGAACGGGCATGGTGCCCGGCTTAGTTAACGTAGAATTAGTAGCGAAGTCGTTCATTTTATCTTGATTTGATTTATTCTTTGTCTTGAAGTAATTTTGCTGTTTTTCTCCTCAGGTTTAAAGGTGGTATTTTGGGGTGATTATTTTTAAGCCGTTTGTCCAGCGTGTGTGACAAATTGTTTCTGATACTCAATATTTGATTCAAATTTACTACATATTCAAACATTACAAACCATGATGGTAGATTTTGAAGGAAAAAAAACAGCGGCAAAAATAACAGACGTGTTCCTGAGTATTAAACGCATGACGTAAACGTAATGGCAGAATAAGAAGGAGGGACGTTGCTTGCTGGTTCGAGCACGTACCTCCATTTTGTAAGTGCCTTTTACAAATAATATTCCTCAAATACTATGAAACTGCTATGAAGACTTTTGGGAAAAGCGTTAAAAACCACACTGCAATTTCTTCACGAGGACAGACGGCTTTTAATGTTTTCTTCTTGTTTAATTTGTTCACGTATATATTTCAATATAAGAGTGTCGTAATTACTCCGTGAAATCAACTAATCAGTTTGAAGACTGTTCGAACCATTTTAAGAATTTTTAGTAGCAAAAGCTAGTTCGACGACCCGCTGCAACTGCGGTTTTACATAAAGTTATTCATAAGCATTTTGTCCAATGCACGAAAGGAAGAAAATGGCAGAGCCCTAGCTGCAAATATTACAATTAATGTTGGCTTGAGTAGACCTTCGTCATAAAGTACGCATATCGGTTGGTAAAGTTTCGGCGTTATAACAAACTTCGGTCCGAATAGTTAATCGGCAGGTAGACCTTTTGTAATGAATCTGTCGATTAGTCACTTTTAGCAAGATACTATTACAAAATCAGCTGTGATACAGTCACTTACTTATACGATCACGAACTTGTTATACTTCAACAAAACTTTTAATGTAATCTATTTTTGCTTTAAAGACCTAGAATAGATCGGGTTTTACTCTACAAAGTTGATCTTTAAAAGTAAAATCTTAAGACACTGTGCAATGATTTCTATTTACAGACAGATACATCAATGTAGACTCGTATCTTACTACCGTAATTCTTTCATTGCTTCAGGTTATCTCTTACTTTTATTTCAACTTTTCAAATTACACATTTACTGAACGACTTCATTAAATTAAGTAGCAAAGCAATCTGTGTGAGAGTGGAGTGTTTCAGAAATAACAGTGTCTTGGAATGAGGGATTAGGGTCTTGCCGAACGATGACAAGTGAACATGTACAGCGGGTGCGCTAATGTAGAATGAAAAACAACACTTTTCTGGGCTGACTAAAATGAAAATATAACAGCCTCTTGATTGGGTGAAGAAGTAGCGCTACTGACTTGTGAGAAACCAGTCCCCCCCAAAAAATTAGTGTCATTACTACCGGCTTTGGGAGTGACTAATCGTCTCAAAACGCTTGTCATCTCGGCCCTTCAAACTATAAAGTGCATGATCGTCCGGTTTGAACAGCGCCACCATTAGAAGATGCAGGTACCAATAAGAACGACTTTGCATGCTACGCCTCTGTTAAAACATTATAGTCTGCAGCCCCAGTGGCATAACGGGGGTCCAATTTGAAGGGGAGGGGTGCTTAGGGGTCTTTATCTTAATGGAGGGGGTGGCACTCAGTGACTTTTTTTTAACTTCGCAAATCTCATTTTCACCTTTCCTAATTGGGTGTGGGCGGGACACAAAGGGAGGGGGCCCTTGAGCCCAAGAACCACTCGGTAGCTAGCACAAACTAATGGGAATTAGCTTCACACCCGAGAACAGAGATTGTACATCCATTATCAACGCTAGAGGGCAGTGTTCAGGGACATGGAATAACGGGAAGCTACACACCACCAGAGAACACAAATTGTATGTATCCATTATCACCACTAGAATGCAGTGTTCAGGGATATGAAGTGCTTTTTGAAGCTAATCATTTTGCGGTGTAAGCCAATGGATGAATCCAGGCACGTGATCACGGTCCTTGTCTGTTTCTATAATCTTCATCCCACATCATATTTGTTTTAAACTTCACGAATCATATATTTTGTAAGGCCGAGATGGGAAGCGTATTGAGACGGCAGTAGTTGTCACTCCCTAGAGACGGTAATGACACTGATCGGGGGGGGGACCTTGGTCTACTTGTTCACAAGTTAGTGCTACTTCTTTACCCAATCTAGAGTCTGTTAAATTTGAATTTAGTGAACCCATGCAGAGAAGTGTTTTTTCGTTTTTCATTCTACATCAGCGCATCTGCTTATGTCCCGCTCTGATTAGAGTTGCCGTGAAGTACGGTATTAGATTGGAGCAGACCAGTGGGACAATAAGCCTCTGCACTAATGACGTCTCACTTTGTTTATGTGTGTGCTTTCCTATGGAGCCAGTGGGGGCCCACGGTCCACTAAAAACCATAGGAGAGCACACACGTTAAAAAAAGCGTGACGTCATTAGTACAGAGGCTAATTGGTTTTCAAGTATTCAGTAACATAATCCTCCCCCCCCAAAAAAAAAAAATTCCATCTTGTAATAATCCTCCCTCATTTCCTCATGGAAGGCCGAGATGGGAAGCGCATTGAGACGGCAGTAGTAGTTACTCATCATCAGTCTGATCACCAGACCAAAAGAGTCTGACTACTTTGACAACTCTTGTCCATTTAGTCAGAATCGTTTAGCAATTCATGTGGGATACCTGGCAAAAAATATCGTGCGGTTTAATTAGGCCAAAAAAAAAAAATCGGTTTCTGGTCAGACCAAAGTTCCGGAATTGATGCGGCGACCGCGGCTTTTTTTTCAAGCTTGGATTGTACAGACAAGGTGGGGTACTATTTTGCTTTTTTTAGTGTCCTCATGTACATTGGTGTCCTCCATAATTTGCCTTGGTGCCCTCGATCATTTGCCTTGGTGCAATTTCCCATTCCTTGGTGCTCTTTGGTAAAAACATTTGAGGAGGTGCGGCAATAGAGGGCGCTGTTGGAACTACCGTGGAACATTTCGGAAAAAAAGTTGACGGGCATGATTAAAAGCGACGCGGGCGCTGACCAGAGACCGACTAATTTTTTTGGCCTTATATAGCTGATTACTGCGCATGTGCACTCTTTACGTTATTTTTTTTCAGCAGCCTCATTTGGATCCCCAGAATTATTGATTTATTTGCAAGAAGCGAAACAACAGCAGCATAGTTTGAGAGAGGGGATGGTTCCTCCATGCGTCAATCGTTTCTAAAAAGTTGGGGGGGGGGACATACCTCGATCGTAACTCATGCGAGCGCGTGGCGCGAAGCCCTAACGGCGTGGGGTTCGGGGCCCGCTTAGACCCAGAAAAATTGTGGATTCTAGACGCTCTGGAGTGCAATCTAAGGCAATTTCTGACCACTTTAGGCAATTTGTTTTAGCAAAAGATTATCATTTAAACATCATTATCGAGTTTTGAGTCATTGAATCAGCTGTATTGAGCTATAGAATATATATTAGGCTACAATTTTTATTCAGTGACGAAAAAAAGGGTGGGGGGGGACAAACGATATGATAAAATCATGATATTCAGCTAAGAAAACAAAAAAATGGGGAAAAAGGAGGCGTCTGTAAATTGGGCTGAACCTTAGACAGCGAAGGGCTGCCTATAAAGTGGGGTCTTGAACAAGTTCAAAGAAATCCCCAAAAATAAGAGATTATAGTTGTTTATGATAATTTTTTTTACAGGGTAAATTTATCAGATAAGTCCCCCACGTTAGGCAACCCTTCGCCTAATTCGCCCAAAGGCCTAGTATTTGAATTTTTGGCTTTTCCGCAAAGTTGTAGAAAAGCCTGTATTTTTTTCAAGATTTCTTCCGGCCTTCACCTTGGGCCTTCATCTTGCTGGACTGCAGCAGAGGATGCAAAAAGGCAATAGCAAGACTCCAAGTGGAGTGAATTGGATGCAGTTGAGTCATTGTGCGGTCCCGACAAGCAGCCTTGCTATTGAAGTGTATTTGTCCTTGGGCAAGACACTTTATATCAATATCTGCCTCCCACCAACCCAGTAGCAAATAGATACTCGTACAGGCAGAGATGATCATTGTGTTTGAATTTTCTGTTTACAATGAAAATGTTGGTAAAACTGTTAAGCCTAAGACACACATTCACGGTTTTGGGCTACGGATCTTTACGGTTTGAAATTCGTGATAAACCGTGGGAGTACCGTATTTATCTATAGTACATCCGTGGTTATCCGTCATCTTCCTTGGGTATTCGTGGAGGGGCTACGGAAATTTTAAACTGTTCATAACTTCCGAGGTGAACCGTCATGAACATTAATCCGCAGTGCAACCGTGGGACATCCATATAGGACAACCGTATTTGTTCGTAGAGTTATTCCTGGCTATTCGTGCATATTCTTGGAGATTCGTAGCTAATTTGTGGTAGAAATATCTACGAATTCGGTACGAATGTCCTACGGATATGCCCGGATGTGCTAGGGTTCTGCTAAGGTTGTATACTACGAATATAATTATCCACGTTTCATTCATAGGAGAACCTTGGTCATCCGTGGCCAAATCGCAGACAGCCGTGGCGTTAACGTCATTATTCTTAGTAATACCGTCGATATTCTTCACCAATCCGTCCATATTCTTGACAAAACGTGGTGTATTCGTAGAGAAACCGTATGACAGTCGTGGCCATCCGTCCTGAAACCGTAGTGCATTCTTAGAAAGTTGATTTCTCCACGAATCTCCACGGCTCATAGTGATCGATTGATTCTTGGTAAACCGTGGATATTCTTAGCTCCAACCGTGAATGTGTGACTTGGGCTTTACATAAGTTCAGGGTTCGACTTTAGCGGTGGCCCGCAAGCCTAAGTAGCCCGGCTGGCAAGGGGACAATTATTGGGCTACGGCAAAGATGAAAGGACCGGAAGAAATACATCATTCAATTCAGAAAATACACCTGTATCAATTTGTGTCTAATTTTATTATTTTTTTAGCGCAAATAAAATTGATGTTTATTAAAAAACACACACACGATTGCCTCTGGATACATGTTTT